AGGAGTAAAGTGCATCAAATTAATGGGAATGCAATTGTATCGTAGGATGGAAATTCAACATTCTACAAGCATATGCATGTGGGACCAAGATGTTGAAAGGAACTTGTAAGGGACACACGTGCGTGAAGAATAATTCAAGATTTTTAATCATAGTTCGTCATATTATTCGATTCGTAATTCTTTTTCGAAAATCTGATATTATTATATAATTTCATGAATCAGTCGGTTGGGTCGATTTATACCGATATTTGTTCAAATTCTTTACACCGCAACTGCAAGTGATACTGTAACTGCGAACTATGCCTTTAATATGTACCGAGTATAAAGTTTAGCAATCTTTATTTTCTTTTTCTTTTGGGTGACTAAGGTCCAATTCTTTGGGTGTGAATATCTCTTCAAATTATTATCCGGTATCTTAGTTGGTAGAATGTCCGACTCTTTACTTTGTGTTGGAATCCCTTCTCCCCTCATTTGCCAAAAAAAAAAAAAAAAATTCTCTCTAATGTGTGATAATTTCAAATGCCACATTCAATTTAATCCATGAAAAATTCAATGAGTATATTGGAGCTTTTCAAGATAGTGTACTAGATGGTTTTGTTCAATTTAAATTCACAATACAATACACAGACATTTGAAACAAGTAACATTCCCAATAAAATACAAAGTACAAGGCAAAGAGGCAAATTCAACGCACGAGCCTTTTATTATTGTAGGGTCTAAGGAAGATTAGATGTGCACATTTTCGGTTGCGAATAGATTATTTTCTTATTTTAATTCCGTGACCTCTAAATTACAATAGAATAATCTTATCATTACATCAAGACTCACTTTCATAGAATACGAAAAATATATGAACATTAATGTTTAAAAATGTTCTTTCCAACATTCAAAACTCTTTATCCCAGACCGAAATGAAAACATTTCAATTTTGTTCCCATGATGAGAATTATATATATCAACTATAATTAAACGTCCGAATCCCAAATCCCATAGACAAAGCTGACGTAATTGTTTGGGTCAGACTTTTATTCAAATAGGGAACTAATCCATAATAATTGCTGACAAAATCAACTCTCTGACTGTTGGTGAGGTACGGGGCTGCCTTGACACACAATGAAATTTAGGATAATGTTATTTATTCACGATAAAAATCTTTGAAAATATATATATATTGCCTAACAGTCTAAGTTGTAAGTTGTTTTTCTTTTTTTCTTTTTTTTGGTTAGTTTTAGAGGTTCTGCTACGAGCCTTCACATGCAAATAAAGAATATTATTCAGTAGTTTAAGTTGTAGGTTATTCATTGTTATTTTTAGAAATCTGGCTTCAAACCTTCACAAAGAAGAAATATTTTTCAACAATCTAAGTTGTAGGTTGTTTTTCATTATTTTTGGAAGTCCGATTTAACCTACGCCCCCTCCTTATATATATATATATATATATATATATATATATATTAATCAGGTTGAATTGTTGGAACATTTTTGCAATTTGGAACTGAAATGAGGCTTATTTAAGAAGTGTGCATTGGATTTGGATCCAATCCGAAAATTCTCAGACAGTCTCCTCTTTTTTACCAGTCCCAAATGCCAAATTTGAGTTTGCTTTGGCCACCAAATATAAAAATGTCAATTTTTTTGACTTGATTCATGCTGGTTCAAAACAGATAAAATATAAATATTCAGCTCTTCTTGAAGTTTCTTGAGATAAACCTAATAATTTTGACCCGACTTTGAATACAATTTCCCAAATTTGAGTTTGCTTTGGCCGCCAAATATAAATTTTTCTTGAAATAAACCTAAGATTTTTGACTTGAGTTTGCAACGTTCTGGAAGGTTTGTGTGTGTGTGTGTTTTTTCCTTGGTTGTAAGGGGGAGGAAAAAAACACGGAGATAGAGAGAGAGACAAAACGAGTTGAGGCAAAGTTTAAATGATGGAATAGAAAAGTTTTGAATCCATAATATTTAGAGAATCGAGTTTTTTTGTTATGTTGTTATTAATATATATTGAAATTATAAATGTCCCATAACTAGTAAAAAGAATTTAAAACTAGTCCAATTCCACGTTACTTTTTAAATTTAAAAAACAAAACAGAACTCCGAATTTTAGATCTTTTCGAATCTGTTTAGACTCCAACAAAAACTCTGAAAGATTGGATAGTTTTCTTATAAAACGAATCAAATTTAGTAGTAAAAATAATAATAATGAATGAATGATTTCACAAGCAAAACTAGCAAGTATTAGTGGTTTAGGGTAAAAATTTGGTAACTTATTGTAGGTCATAAAGCCAAAAATAAAATCCATGCTTAAACATTGCCAGCCAAAAAGAAAATTTTCGTTCAGCCTGAGTGCTAAAATCGTGGTAATTTAACATGCATTGTATGCTTAAAAACACACACATACACACAATTTGATTTTAAAAAGCAATGTGGATAAGCTTCCATGATGCAATGTTATCCTCAACTATACCCCCATATAATTGGATCTTCTTGATGTGTCATACGTAGTTGGTAGGTTAAGTAGATATATACGTGTAATTGTGATAACAAAAAGATTGGATCATCATCACTTATAATAATAGAGTATTAAAATATATAAAAGTTATATTTCAGGGATTTGGAATGCCAACTGTATCTCTGATCCAAATGAAAATTATTCAAGTATAGGTGGGGTTGTATGAATAGTCTTTACTTGGGAGTGTCGTAGCGATCTTAGTTATTATAAATGTTGGATACGGTTAAATGTACTAAAATTTAAATATATATTTTTTCTTTTTTAGAAACGGCTAGGACACGATATGAATACAGTAACACCAAGTTTAGGATAATTTTAGGACATGGTAGGGTAGTTTTGTAATTATTTATTTTTAAATAATAGAATTCAATGTAATTTAAGATATATTATGGGTTAATTATAAAAATAATATAAAATAAAAAAAAAATAAAAAAAAACAAAATTAGCGAACATGTAGCTATAAATTCTAAATTAATGATTTCATTCACGATTTGCATAAATAAAATAAGTAACAATTATTATTTTATATATATAATAATATATCATCTTACTATTTTTTGACTTATTTATGTCATATTTGTGTCCTATTTTTTTTTTAGCATTTGCTGTATCACCCATATTGTGTTATACTTGTGACCCGTAATCAAAACAAGCCCGAGGCCTGAAAACAGGCCTAGTCTGGCGTACGCCTGTCTATGGGCTGGGTCAAACCAATCCACTATAGTGATGGGCTATGTCTGAGCCCAAGGTCCTAGGATTTACAACCTGGCCTGGCCCCTAAAACAGAATTGAAAGACCAACAAGCTAGGTTCAATAGTAGCCCAATTTGGATGGTTTAGTTTAGGGCCTACTTTAGGCCCGCCAAACTAAAACTGGCTAGTTCCTCTCCTAATTTTACCCTTGTTTTCAAAGTACTTAAATATCAACAAATCAAAATACCTTCATCCAAAACCCTACAAGTACTTACAATTTTTTCAAGGGTTAAAATCTCTCTGATTTATCGAGCATTTAGTTTTGAACTTAGATGTTATCAGGCAAGTCATCGTCATTCCAGAATTAGTCCAATCAATTTATCAAATCCGACTCATTCTGTCTTATAATGAAGTAAAGTTGGGATCGAATAGAATCAATATTTTTCTTAAATTTGTAGTAAAAATTTTAAATTATCAAACATCCATTTTTTTTTTAAAGTAAAAAAGCTGTAAATTATTTTCAAAAGATGAATCTATTGTTTACATAAAAGATGGTACATCCACACGAGGATTCAAGAAAATATTGGTGAAGATTGAATCACGATCACGTGCAAATCACGTGCTTTAATACTAGGGGAAAGGGTGGATGGCACTTCAGAGAATATCCCAAAAGGCGATCCCCTTTATATAGTATCACCATCGTGTGAATATATAAGGCCAGAAAAATCAATTCAATTCGAAGGTCCATACTGCTCCTCAAAGCTCGGCATTCTCTCTCTCTCTACACTTTCTGTCTCTACCAGAGACTCCAGATTCGTTCTTCCCTGTTCTTCCCAGTCACTTCAGATGAATTGCCTTCAATATCTTCCCAGGTCTGTTTGATTCTTTTGTTTTATTGATTTCTCAAAAATGTTGTGTGTTTGGGTGTATATATATATGTAAATGTTTTGGTTTCTGGTTTCAGATCCTCTGTTTTGCCTGTTCAGAGCTTCAAAAGCTACGCTTCGAGGCCTTCGTGTCATGTTCATATAGTGGTAACTCTCACTCTTACTCTTAACAAAAATGAGTTTCTGAAATTTCAAAATCATTCTTTTGTAAACGTTGATATATAATTATATATATATCTATATACACACACATATACATACACAGACACACACGCACATATATTGTTTGTGTAAACAGTTAAACGCAAATGCCTTGATTTAACGCAGGGTATGATGAATACCACTGATCAGCGTAGAAGTTTTGTGTTGAAGGTAACTTATGATTCTTCCAATTGAGAAATCTTTCTGTGTGGTTTTTGTTAATTATTAGTTTGGATTTACCATACATGTTCTATTATGTAAATTGTAATTCAATAATTACATTCAAAAAGTCTTTTTTTATTTTTTATTTTCCAATAGATGTGTTCTATAAATATCTTCGGTGACTTTGGGATATTTCGTTTTTTCTTTTTTGTCTTGTTCTGTTTATTTCCTTTTCCCATGACATGCCCGGTTCCTTTACCATCATTTATTTTGTGGCTCCACTTTTGATATGCCCATTTAATTATTATATGCTTTAGGAAAATGATTGATAGGCAGAAATAATTAGTGGAGGTGGGCTCACCGAGCCATTTCTGCCCATTTGATGCATTCATGTGGGACCCGTGTGGATCCCTTGAATGCATCATATGACCACAAATGGATGGTCTAGCAAGTTTGGGTTGTTATTTCTGCCTATATAGCATGGTTCTTTTAGAATTGTTGTGGGCTGTACAGATGCTGAAATCACAACAGCGAAGTAGTACTACTGGCTGTACCAGATATTGAGTTTATTCACCTTGATGTCCATTTCAGCCAGGTTGAAATGAAGATGTTAGCTTTTTGTCTTGATGCTTCATCTGCTCCAACTGATGAGCGGTTTCCACTGTTCTGATCTATTCAAGAACCATTTATTTTGTTATTATTACAACTTCATATAATGCACTAACATGTTAACTTATGAACGAGTAATGCAGCAGGGAACCACATAAAATGTTTGATTGGCCTAGACCTTCTAAGCGTCACTAGTGGAGTTTCCAGGCTGTTGCGCCCTAATTTTACTGCCTCACCCCAGAACCTACCCCTTCCCAGTGGGACCGTGTAATAGAACTTTTTTTCCCCCGTCAAATTCCGGATGAGTTTGAGGCCTCTGGCGCCTTTTTTGAATACTTTTTGTTGTGCCCCAGGTTCTATTTGCTTGGTTCCATAATCAATCCCAAATCCATCCATTTGAGGGAGGTCTCATATCAATTAATGCCATCTTTGAGCACATTTCAGTTGTGGTTAAACTAAGCAGAAAGTAAGCTTTCATGAGGGGCACATTTTATCCTACATGTAGACAAATCTAATGTTGTAGATACATATATTGGTAATTATGACTTATGACTAGGCCAAATATGGTAATTGATTTGGTAATCATCTGATATTTAAACAGTTAGTGTAACCTGTTAGTGATTATGCTGATAATTATTGATTTGAATTTTTTTATTTATTTGATCATTTTAACCTTTTCCGTTAGGCCATTTCTGGTTCTACATCCAGTACAGAAATGAATGATGCTGAAATTAAGGAGGAAAAATCCGAGACATATAGTACTAACATGACTGAAGCTATGGGCGCTGGTAAGTTCATTCGTAATGAAAGTTTAAGCATGTGAGGAATCTTAGGAGGCATTTGGGAGGAAAAGAGATGTCCTCTACCTATTGGAGGAAAAGATATTAGTCTGGGTAATCAAAACTTTTGCTAAATGATATGGGAACATTACTAAAAATTTATGCCTAGCACACAAACCCAACCTTATAATAAATTGGATTCTACCCAGCTCTTTTTATTCTTTTTGGTTGTGAGGACATTCTCTTTTTATAGGATGGTGTTTTCTGATTGCGGTCTGTAAACAACTTTATAGCAGGCCTATAAGCTGTCACGAAATTGCGATTGTTTGATTTAGTATACTTTCCAACATCCTCAAATATATTGCTTTGCTTGGTTTCTGTAATTGATCTAACCTTTTATTTGTAAATATATTTTGATACAGTCTTGACCTATAGGCATGAACTAGGAATGAACTTCAACTTCATTCGTCCAGACTTGATTGTAGGTTCGTGTCTACAGGTACTCATATTTTACTTTTAAATTTATGAACATTGTCTTTCCTTCCAGAATGATTTTCTAATTTCTGCTTTTACTCCAAATGGCAGACCCCGGATGACGTTGACAAACTTCGTGGTATTGGAGTGAAAACTATTTTTTGCTTGCAACAAGACCCAGATCTTGAGTATCCTAGACAATTTATCTATATTCTTCTTCACTGTATTTCATGATTCATAAATACTTGATTGTTCTTTTCTTACTTCTGATCAAAGGAGAGAAGATTTGTTATATTATATATGTATAGAGTGTAGGGTCGGGCTTACAATTAAAAATTAAATATAAATGGAGACATAGATTGAAAAAAAAAAAAAAATTTATGTCGCTGACCCCAACGAAGGCAAGGATGATGACGATGATGAAACTTTTTGAGTGTAAGATGCAGCATCTAACAAAATTGTTTCAGCATTGAGAGATGTTATTTTTAAGTCCTTAACTATATTCAGATATTTTGGGGTTGACATCACTGCCATACGCAAATATGCCACCATATATGATGACATTCAACACTTGCGTGCTGAAATAAGGTTAATGATGACAAAATAGTGATTGTTAAAGATGACCAACTTTCATTTTTGAGTTGTTGGTGGAAGTATATTTACTTTGGTAATCTTATGGTAGTGTGGTTGTTTAATTTGATTGCTTTCTACACCTGAATTTATTTCCTCCTGAACCCGGTTGGCATGAGAGACATTATTAGACATTTATGTCAATATGAGAATTACAGAATTTAACATTTTACCTGTGTTTGGCTCTATAATAGAGCGATAGGTGAGGGATTTTTAAGCTTTCTTATGTAGAGTTGCTTTATCAAAATACGAGGCTATGTTTATGTTAAGTAGTCAAACAGTTTCAGTTGAATGTTATCTATCCAGTTCATTTGAACTATTGTATTCTAAAGATGGCACAAACATCAATTCGCTAAATTATGATATGCCTGCTTTATGCCTGCATACATTCATATTCATGCACCCATAGTGTGATTATGTCACTTTATACAGAAAACTAATTTTAACTGTTGCAGAGACTTTGACTCATTCGATTTGCGGATGCGGCTTCCAGCTGTGGTGAGCAAACTGCACAAGGCTGTTAATCGAAATGGGGGAATAACTTATGTGCATTGTACGGCTGGAATGGGAAGAGCTCCTGCAGCTGCAGTATGCATCTTTCTGTCTCTGTATTCTGGCTCAAAACCTATAACAAATATAAATGTTGTTTTTCAGCTATAACATACTTTAGTGGTATCTCGGGGATCCTTTCCACTTTTTGCCTTTTATTCTGGTTTTACATGCTAATTTATTTTTCTAGTATCTGTGATTATTTAGTCATTATTACATGGTTTATTTTCTCCCTTGTACTCTCTAGTTGTGTGACTTTTCCTGGTTTTCAAGTGATTTCAAACTTCAGCGATTCAACTCAAGGTCATTGCAGGAAATTTTATTCAAATGATTGGATTTGATAAAACATAGGCACATGAAATATTCTTATAGCTACAACCTCAATCCAAATGCAAGCTAGTTTATTTTATGAGATTTTATTACATGAGAAAATTGTGATTCTTGAATTAAGTAAGAAGTAAAAAATAAAGAGAGAATAGAAAGGGGAAAACAGAGACTGCTGTGATGGCAGAAGAATTTGTTCAAGTCCATTTTTATCAGTTACATTGAAGTTTCCAGTTCTACACATTGGGGATGAACAGCAAAGGAAGTAGTTTGGCCTCTCAAGTTATATAATAAACTGGCAAACTAACAGAAGAAAGTTTAACTCTGGCAGAATCAATTATTCAGTTATGTACTAGTTCTCCAACCTTAAGTTTTTAGTGACAGACAGGAAAAGAAAATAGGTCAGCCTCTAATGAAATGACAATATTAGATTTATTTTAAGAACATTCTGTAGAATTTCTCATGCTTATGCACAAGAAGGAAGTTTTTCCACAGTGGAGGAGAAATCGTCCTTGCAAATCCATTAGACAAATAGAATGAATATGCAAGTGCATAGTAGAACAATAAAATGTCTTTGCCAATTGATGAAAATTCTAAATTGTTTTGATTTTAACAAATAATTATTATATCTTGTTACTGAAATCTTGAAATATGGTATTGCACAACTTGCCTTGCAAGTATATATTTATTGTTTGCTTGATAAACCTCTTATCAGTACAGTTCTGAGGATTTGTTTGAATTCCAGCTTACATACATGTTCTGGGTTCAAGGCTATAAACTCAACGAAGCCTGTGATTTGCTACTGGTAATTCTATATCTCGTTTATTTATTACAGCATAATATAACACATAAAAGTATTTCTTATTCTTTTTGAACAATACTGATTCGTAAATATATATGATAAATTGGTTGTTTGTAGATAAATTCGTAAATATATATGTAGATAAATTTTTAAATATAATATCTGAAACGGTGGCAAAAACTCTGTTATTGGTGATTCTGTGACGATATTGGTGTAAATTGATAAAAGTTCCTAGTAAATTAATAATTTTTTGTTGCCTGGATAGTTGACATATCTTGTAATGATGAGACAAAATCTTTAATATGGTAATTGGGATCCCATGGGAGACAAATCAGTTAATTTTTTTGATGAAGTGCTGGCATTATAATTACTTTTGCAAAACATTCTTCTCAATTTATCTATTTAGATTTGTGGTCAATCTTTTGAGGCCGTCCTAAACAAGTCCCTTTTTACTGGAAATTATGAGAAAGAGGAGTTTAATCTTCCAATATTTTTGGAGTGGCCAATGATTTCTTTCTTCTTTGATTGAGCGTAAGAATTATGATTACTTTTTGTTTAGGATTTTTTTTGGTTATATATCATATATGTGCTAGAAATTTGATGTCATTATTAAGAGTTATCGTTTCTGAAGAAGTCCATTTCTACTGGAAATTATGAGAGAGGAGCTAAGTCTTTAAATCTTTGAAGTCACTACATGCCTTTTCTTTTCTCTGCAGAGTAAGCGCTCATGCTTCCCAAAACTGGATGCTATAAAAAGTGCAACTGCTGATATTGTGAGTCATTTTTTTCCTTATCATGTTAGTAATATTACTTACTTGAGAAGCCTCAGAATTTTGTGTTCTGCATTGATTTATTCAATTTTCCGGTTGAGCGGCTCACATAAATGGATTTTGAGTCTTTTCAAGATGAGTGTTTTATATTGCTCCCTTATGATGTGTTACGACAAACGCAGCGAACCCAACAATCACGAAACACGACAAAAAAGTAAACATACCACACAATGAACACAAAGATTTATACGTGGTTCAGCAACGCCTACATCCATGGTGGAGATCCAGCGAATGTCTTCACTATGTATAAAATCGGAGATTACAAGTTTCATTGTTGAAATATTTTTACATATTTTTACAAGAATGATGCATAAAAAATCTGGCATTTGTCCCCTAAGAGTGTTATTTCAGATTCATAAGACAACCTATATAGCAGATATTTAATCTGTGTTTCTTGAAGAAGGGATAACTCTTTCAAAAGTGAGCATCTCATGCAAGAAAAGAATTTATTTTAACTGTCTACGCTGGAGTTGGTTGTGACTTCTTTGATTAGGAACTGATTTTACTTGAAGTATCCCAAGCTAATCCATTTTATAATTCTTATTTTTTTCTGTGTTTCTTAGGCAATGACTACCTTTTGCGGTGTTCAAGTGGCCACATTTCGTATGGATTAAGGATGTAGTGTTAACCGGCAAATATGAAGTAGCTTTTTAAGTGGCCACAAATTTTATTTGATTTTTTGGTGGTGCCTTGTTCACCATTTTAAAATTCTACATAAATTTGGTTCTATTTCGTCCACCATGATATTTGTTATGGTAACATTTGTAGGAATTTTATAGATTGTTCAACTTGGATAAAAAAGAAAAAAAAGAAAAAAAAGAAGAAGAATTAAGTAAAAGAGAATGGTAGAGATTCAAAGGTTCGGGTTTTTATATAGTAACCTAAATTGACTACTTCTCTTGAATAGATGGCACGGTGTCTTAATAGATATATGTTTTTAGGGCTATTAATTGGGTTGAGCCAGCCTGAAGCCCACCTGCTTGGCATGTGAATTTCAAGCTGTGCTTTGAACAAGGTCAGGTTTGGTTGAGCTCGGACCTGTCTTTTGGCCCAAAGTTGATTTCGGCCTGAGTTTGGGCAATGCTTGTTCAGCTTTTATGAAGGCTGATCCATCTTTCTAGGGAAAACTTGATAATTTACCTTATGGCAAAAAGGTTAAGTAGGTAAAGTCATCAATACTTGACTCAAATTTGGCTCTTTCAGTTCTTCTCATTTGCCCGTAGTCTGACAGTCAATAATGTGATACCCTCAGTAAAAAATGAACGAGGTTTTGGTCCCTAAGTTCTCCGTTCTCATTCTTATGGAATTTACTTATTTTCTTTCTTGTACAAGAAAAATGATTACTTTTGCTCTCCCTCTCTCAATTCATATGCCACAAACTAATAGATGATTTACTTATTTATAGATGGGGGGTTAAATCTCTTCCTTTCCTCCTCTATTTAGCCCTTGCCAAGTTCATTCTATTTTCCCCAAGAGGGCCACAAAGGTTATATACCACAGACAACATTTTAAGTGACTTTGTTTATTTTTTTTATTTATTTTTTCAATTAATAGACAATTTTAGATTTGTATTATTAATTTTGATTCAAAGATTATATTCAGGTGTTCCTTATGGTTATTGATCGTGGCCTTGTGGGTTATCTCTCTCTCTCTTCATTTTGATTTATTAGTTCTAGCATCTTCTTTATTCAACCTGCCCGAATTTGGCCTGTTATTATTATGAGGAAACAAGATGAGCTACAGAACAGTGGGACGCTGTGTTCAGGCTTGGGATAAAGGTTTTTGCATTTAGGATCACCCTATATGTTTTTTTCCCGAAAGTTCAAGCAAACACACACACCCATTATATATTATGTCTCCACTTGGGGAGGAGAGCTTATACCGTCTGGGCTAGTGCCCATTGGTATCAGCCCTATATGTTGTCTGCCCTGGTATGGTGTATATTTTAAACTATGTATGAGCTGCTTGCCCATTTTTTGTTGCTTTCCAGTTTTCTTCTTTCATGCTATGTTTAGATACTTCATACCTGTGTGGTTATCCTTCATGATGTAGTTTGTAGTACTATTTCTTAAGACAATATTTATGATGTAAAGATACTTTTCTTTTTACGTTTATTTTTTTAAATTGAAAATTCAAGAAGAGACTTAGAGCTGAATCATCACACTTGAACTAAATCTTTTCTTATATAAAGCTTACAGGCCTGAAAAAGAAGCTTGTCACTTTCACATGGAAAGATGGCAATTGTTCAACAGTGGAAATCTCTGGCCTTGATATTGGATGGGGTCCGGTAATGATTGAATTTAAAAATAATTTTCATGCTTTAGTTTAGCACACAATAGCTGTTCTCTGTTGCTTATATTACTTGAAGATGGATTCTGTTATGACTCTTGTTAACTGTTTATTGAACACAATGCAGTTTTGGTTGATTCATACATGATAATGCATTTAAACTAATTTGTAACTGAGAGATTTAGAAATAATCTTCCAATGATCAAGAAATGTAATCAACTGAAGTGATTTGTAAATGCTACTCCAACACACATTCAGTTTAATCAGGCTGATGCCTTGCAACTGGTAAATGTGCTCAAGATTCAAAATAGTTTTTTTATTCTTATTTTTTATATTTTTTTAGAAACTAGCTGCACATATGTATTCAACTTGTGTTTCAAATGACTTCCTAAGGTGCACTAGCATGATAACCATCTATGACTCCTTAAGTTGTTTCAATGACTAGGCATAACTATGATTAGAATTCTCTAGGTGCAAGTGCCTGTCAATATCTTGCTTTAGTCACAAGGCTCTGCAGGTCTGGATTCATCCACTTTCAACGTTTGTTCTTGATATCCAATATTTCCATGCACATCTTTTCTCCTATGAATAATATAATTCTAAGAGAATTTCTACCATGCTAGCAATCAAAAGATATCTCATCGGTATATCTTACTTTCATGAAGATTCCAATGGCATGGCTGATAATTACGTAGTTGCTGCATCTGCGGTGGAATAGGGTAAGTAACACTTGGTCTTAATGACAGCCAAGTCTACCCGCTATTAGCATTGGCAATTCATATTTGGCTCCACCCTAAAGCATTGGACCCTACAAATGAAAAGGAAAAATAAAATAAGACTATAACTGAAATGTTGAATCTAAATGCGGTAAAACCATCTAATCGACACTCTGTTAGAGTTGAACTGCTGATATCGGCATGATATTAATTTGTTCAGTTAATGTAAGAGCAGTGTATTTCTCTTTCATCAGCTGTATTGAATCTTTAATTGACTTATTGACATTTTTTTTTTCTTGGCATTTTGACTCCTTACTCTCCTGACAATGTCAACGATTGAATTTTTTAGTTTGACCTGGACTTATACATGTTCACTGGAATTAAAATGAAATCAAATGTGAAGGGTTCCCTATACTCATTAAAATTTTCTGTTCTCACATTGCCAACAATTGGTATATTATATAGTGCTTATTTTCTGACAGATGTATAATTCTTTTTCTTTCCTTTTTGTGACATTTCTCAGAGAATGCCTTTACAGTTTGATAAGGAACAAGGTTTGTGGATTCTTAAGAGGGAATTGCCTGTAAGTGTAATTCATTTCTCTAAAATTACCTGTGACTGCTTTCATTTTTGGTCCTAAGAAGGCAGAAATAGTCAAGTCCTCTCTTTTTGCATCTATGAATTTTCTTTTTTCTTTGAACTTCCTACTCTTAACTATTTCATTGCTCTCCATTTTTTGAAACTAGTGCACAACTTTAGCTCAACTGGCAGGGCCTTTGGGGGGTACTCCCCCTTAGGTCTCCGGTTCGGGACTCTCCAAAGGTGAGGCCTGGACTTAAAAATGATGCACATGGTTTGCCGGCGATTGCTTGCATTCGGAGTTTGCAAACCATTCTAGAGTCCAAAGTGGCTAGCGGGTGGGTTAATTATTTGTTAACAAAAAAAAAAAACTTGGGCATAGTTTTTTTTTTTTTTTGGGTAAAAACTAGGGCACAACTTTCATATGCAATAATCTTCATTTTTCATCTTAAGTTATATGGAAAATTGGAAATGGTCAAATGAGTGAAAGTTAAGCTGGGTAAAGCATCTAGACCTATATTTTGTAGGATGCTTGGCAGAGATCTATATTTTTCACAATCTTAGTGTTTTTTTTTTTTTAAATAACCTGGCATAATATGTACTTTCTACTGGATAGACTGCTATGGTGTGTGGCTTTTTCAACCTCGGGCAGAAATACATATCACCTGCTTTGTTTTTTGAAGTAGTGGAACCTTGGTGCTGTATGAGTTTTGCTGTATAAATTATTGTCACAAACAGAATTATTTGCTAATAAAGGGAGAATCTTTTTTTCCCAAAGATAAGGGTGGTAACTGGAGCCATAGTTGTCAATTCAGGATTCGTATCATCAATTGATAACTACATACGTGTCAAATCAGGATTCATATAAAATCATCAGTCATAAGGTATGTTGACAGTTTGGAAAAATGTATAGGAAATAACATGTATGCATGTAGGAACAAAAATTATGCTGTAAAAGTGATGGATATAGCCAGTGAAAATGAAGGAGATGGTAATATATAAGAATATATTCTGAGCACTCGGGAACATCATTGTGCCACCACCATAATCAGAATTCAGTATAAATACAATTTAACTGGATTCTAATATCACCACTATCATCCTCATCAATGTCACAAAATACTTACTAGTGGGATCATTCACTCTCTCTCTCATCAACAATTCTTTAGGGGGAAAACAATGGGGTGTAGGACTGCATAGGAAAAAATGGATCTTTTGAAGCCTTACTGGTAGATATCTTTTGAGAATGAGTTCTAGAAATCTCTGATACCACAAAGAAATACGAAAAAAGGGCTCTGTTTCTTATCGATCTGGTGGCTAAATAAATCAATTAAATTGCATTTGAATTGAGATTTTGATGCTATTTGGTGTTGTCATTTTATTTGCTTCTATTATGCCTATTGTTGATACTATCTGAATCACTTACTATGTAAATCGTATCAAATCTTATGTAAATCGTATCAAATCATACAATTCACATCGTTAATTATACAACTTTGACAGCTATGACCATAACATATTGAATTTATATTTTGGAGATGGTGCAATCTTGTTCATCCCACAAAAAGATATTGCAGAATGCTGCACTTCATAGTCCGGTTGCTAACAGTAAAAAATTACTGACAAGTATATCAACGCAAAAAAAGAGATTAAATTAGTTGCTCTTGTTTCTAACAGGTAGGACACTACGAGTACAAGTACATCGTGAATGGTGAATGGATGTGCAATAGACATGAACTTGTAACTTCTCCCAATAAAGATGGCCATGTCAACAACTATGTTGCAGTAAGTTTCAATTATCTCATATAAGAGCTATTACTGCCAGCTAACAAGTCAAACTTTTAGTCATTGTCTTCTTCAGTATTCCGTCTTACAAAATTGCTCACTGCTTTGCTCTTTCATTGAAGGGCTTTCTTGAAGTGTAGCCCGAATGAGAAAATGGGAATTCAGTTATTCCCTAGAGAAGAAAATTCTTTTTGACATAAATATAAAGGACTATTTTGATAATCAATCTAGCAAGAGAGAATTGATATTTTGAACTTCTCATCTGAGTGTACAATGAGATTTCGTCAGTTGATTGAAGGCAACTCCCAAAACCTTCAAGCTCTTTCTATCACCTCACTTTACTCTTATGGGGACTTGAATCCTCGACCGGGAGATACCACTGGTCTGCAACCCTTGGTTTTTCCCCACGAAGAAAGGGTTTTGAAGCCCGAGAGTTTTATTAGCACTATGTTGTATCAACCATTTTTAACCAAAATAATGTGCTTTTTCTTATGTTCATCAAATTGTTGCCGGTGATGTCTCTCTGTTACTTCTCTTGTTCACTCTATTACATGCACAGGTTTTGGAGGATGATCCAAATAGCATTAATGCAGTTCTGCGGGAGAGGTTGACGGGTGATGATCCTGCTCTGACAAAGGACGAACGGCTCAAAATAAGACAGTTCCTCGAAGGTTGTTCGGATGATGAATGAATTACAAGTGATACTACGTTGTATGTAAAATTACTAACGGTGTAATGATACCCAGTACCCACTTGTATCCTTCAAATGAATTTTATAGTTTTAATAAATAATAAAAGCACGGGTATACAAGCTTTATATATATTTGTTAGATTATATATGTTGTACTCATAGCTATATTTACTCACGTAAATTTATTAATCTCTTAAGATTTCATGCATACATATAAATCAATTCAATAAAATACATATAATATACCTTGCAAATGGTTCAGTCAGAGATGTTTGAAAATTTTCTCTTGTTTTTTATTTTTTATTTTTTGTGGTGAATTTGGAATAAAGACCAAATCTCTTGCTCACAGTTGAATATGACATTTATGAGCAATCTCATGGAATCAAATCGCTCCAACAATAAAATTTCCCTTCAGTTTCCAAAAGAAAAATAAAATAAAATTTAACTTGACGTTAGCTAAAATCTTGGCAGTGGAAGAATGGTTTAATTAGGTCCTACTTAAATGGGCTTAGTTGGGCCACAAAATGGGTACGTTCTCTAGGCTGGCCCAGTCCATGAGTACCCATGATAAACTAATGCCTTTGTCTTTTACCACTAGTTTTTGATATAATTACTATTTTCACCTCCCGCCTTATTAGAACCCCATTGGTGGATTGGAACACACCTCAGCTCGCGGCGACTGTCACTCTGTGTGTAGGGTTTCCGCTCTCGAAACTCTACTTTCTCTCTCTACTCCGTCTGTCTCTCTCTAGAATCCAGGTAACAATCTCCGTCTCGCTTTCAACGCTATGACCTACTTGCTAAATTTTATTTTTCATGTTTGCTAACCATTTCGTAAAATTTTTCAGTTCAATGTACTCTTCATTTTACTAGCCTTTGCCATAGTCTTTTCTTGCAGTTTTTTCGAATAGTTTTGGTTGAGTACTTCCATATCTAAATTACGTTATTCTGAATTTGCTCTGTTTGTTTGCCGAGAAAATGTGGACTAAAACACGCACACAAAAATTGAGGGCTTTAGATACTGTAGAGTGTAGAAGCCAAAATTCTAACTTCATTTTCCTTCCTATGTCCTCTTGGCAACTAAAGGTGTTTTGGGCTATTCTGATTTCTTCGTGGGGAAGTTGTTGCCACCAGAGTAGGTGGGAAGCACAAAAAAAATGCTTGTTATTTTCGTTTTTACTGAGTGAGGGTTTATTGGGCTGGAAGAAGTGCCTTAATTCATTTGGGGCAATTTGCTAAATGCAAGTTCATACCTTGAATTTTATCAACTATCGATCCTTAGTTGTCGTACCAGTGGCAGATTGGTTGAACATATAATGGCAACCCGTCGTACTGAGTTACTGGTACAAATTTATTGCACATATTATTGAATAAATTTTGAACATGATGCAGACTTTATCTAAAAGTAAAGGATATCAATAAATTATGATTGCAATAACCAAAATATTATTTTTTCAATGTTGGAACCCAGCTGGTAGTAGACTCGTATGAGCTTGAGTCCTTAGTTTTGTATCTCACCACCTGTGTGGTCAATGGGGAAACTGTAGATTTCTCAATTTCTACGGGCCTTAGATTATCTGAAATGAGAAAAAAATCTTGCTTTATCTCTCTCTTTAGACGGGACCGTCTTAGCTGTGGAAAAATATATTTTTTTAATTATTATTAATGAGAATCCATGTGGAAGCCTCTAATTTGTTACTGTGTTACATGAAGGTTTGTATTCTATGGGCTGGTAAACTTTGGTCACACCATGCATGCGATTAAGGGCGGTTGGGTTGGGCAAACGTTTGCCCTAGCTAAGCCTAATGATTCTGGAGGAAGGAAGTCAAGGATTCGGCGTTCGAAAGAGGAGAGGAAAGCAATGGTCGAGTCTTTTATAAAGAAGTAAGTGCATAAAGTTCCTCTTGTCTTTTAACTTGTTAAGTTCACACCTAGGCTTGATGTTTGAAGACAAACAATGAAGATTAGTGGCATTACTAACATCCTACCCGATTCTCTTTTCATTATTTTGTCCTCAGTTTGTGTGTGCAATCATTCTATTTATTTATTTTTATCTATCTTATGTGTTATCTGGTAATGTAGTTGAGCAGAATCTGACAAGGTAATTTGTCCTTTTGAACTCTTTCCGGATGCCTCAATCTACAAAATCAGCTTCTAGAACAATTATTACAATCTGCTGGATGAGCTTTTTAAAAAGTAAAGCAGGTTCTTATTGGAAATTTAGATTCATATACTTTGTGTACTACATATATATGCTGAATTTCTGATGAATATGTAAATATAAGCTTTAGCCATCTCTTTCGTTTTAAATTGAAAACCAAACATAAGTGAAATTATTTATTCAGTGTTGGTTCTTTCATAAATTTCGTTGATGGTTTTTGTTTTTGATTTAGCATTCTCAATAGTGTCCGTCTGTGATTAGGATTATATTATTTTTTTCTCCTTCCCCTTGGTTTTTCATGATCTTTTTGCATAAATGACCTATTTTCTGTCAGAGGGAAGTACTGTGATAACATATATACATCGTTGGGATTGATCCTTTAATTCAACTGGTATCATATTGAATTTGTTATGTAATGATTTGTATGATTATGGGAGGATTTAGTGTGGAGACATTGGCATATTAAATTTTGGGCCATTGTTTTGTGTGTTGGTAAAAGCTCGGTCTGCAATCTTTAGAGTGCTATTTATGGCATAAGGGCAGTCACTTTGTGGAAATGATGCCAGAGGTTAGATTTGTATGTAGTCCACCCTCTCAGTAATCTCGACCAACACTAGGTAATGGTTTTAGTAGTAGTTAATTGAAATTGCAATATCTATGCTCAGAATCTTCTTTGTTATGTCATATTCAAACTTATCTCAAAATCGATGGGTGAAATCTTTTTTTCCCATTTTAATCTCCTGATTTTTGTAAAGGTTGTTAAACTTTCAAGTTTTTATTTTATTTGACCAGTATTAATTGAAGCAACTATACCCAGCTTTGATTTACCACTTAATCAAACTGCTTGCAGATATCAGGAATCAAACAATGGGAATTTCCCATCACTTAATCTCACTCATAAGGAAGTTGGTGGGTCGTTCTACACAGTGAGGGAAATTGTCAGAGATGTAATCCAAGAAAACAGAGTGTTGGGTCCTGCCAAGTTAATTCCAGAAGAGCAGAACACTGATAATTTCTTGGAACAATATCCATTGGGAACAATTTCCACTGAATTTCAAGCTCGGTTGTCATCGTCAAATGAAATGCATATTCTACCATTTCATCATCAGAGTGCAAGTGAAAATTTGGTTGTAAATTCTAGTGCGCAGTCACGTGGACCTGGACATCAGAGATTTGATGATGGAAAAGTTATTAATGGGAGCAGTCAGGCAATTGAAAAAGACGAAAACAATGATGAAACAGTATTCATAGAGTCGCAAGATAGAAAAAGCTTGGACATAGAGGGAAATGTAGTAGAAGAACTAGAAGCTTCTAAAGCTAAAATAACGCGTATAGCGACAGATGTAGTAGTAGAGACATTTCCATTAGAGCCTGTTTCTAAGATAACTTGTGACTTGTATGGACAATCAAGTGAATTGAAGGAGTTAAATGAAACTTTGGAAGAAAAGGAAACTGAAAAGGTGAAACTAGAAGCAGAGAACGATGAACTGGAAAGAATGAACTTCCTGGCAGACTCTTCTGTTTTGGTGGATGAGAAAGCTGAGGTGAATCCTGCAGGTCCATTATTGGGAAGCAATTCTGGTTTAGTGGATGAGAAAGCAGTGGAAGAAGTTTCTGGTTTAGCGGATGAGAAAGCAGTTGAAGAACTTGGGGGCCTGTCACTGGAAAGTTCAAATGGCTCTTTAATTGAAGAAATTATTGTGCTTGACGAAAATGATGGTGCCTCGGCTGCTGGAAGTAAGGTGAGATTTTGTTTACTTGGTGCTTATGTGCATATGTATCCAAGGTTGTGCTGCTCTTATTTAGTTATTTTATTTATTTTTGGTTGGGAAAAATGGGTTCTTTTCTTCTTTTTGTTTCGGTTTTTTTTTTTTTTAGCCATGTGGGGGGGGGGGGGGGGGGGGGGGGGGGGGGGGGGGTGTTTGTTATTTTAGCTGCATGCAACACAAAATCTCACTCGATGTGCACTGTGGATCATGACTTTAAGACTGGTCTTGGTATTTGTAATCTCTAGCTTGACTAGGTATCAGAGATAGACTTGATATATGCTTAACAAATTTATATACGAAAGATTCAAAAAATTATTTAAAGAAATTAACTAATAATAAGGTAGTGGTAGCATTTAAGCAATACAGTATGCCAAACAATTTGACAACCGTAATAAGATTCAAAAGATCACCTTTGAACACCCGTGCTAGCATAATATATGTCAATAATTTTCATGAAAAATGATTAAGATAAATGATGATTTGATTTGTATGGCAAACAATTCGACACAATATTTTTCAAAGGTCACCATTGAACAACCATGATATAATTGCCATAAAAAATTATGATTAAAATGAATTGTTTTGCTTAAGAAATTTAGGCTCTTCAGAAATTTATTTATTTTTATTTGATTTTATGAAATACATAAATTACAAGAAATGGTGAATTGAAATAGTGTTGGTGACCAAGGGCCTTGTGGCCTAGTGGTATCTCCTCTGCCATCCAATGGACGGTGAGGGTTTGAGTCCCCAAAGGCCAAAGTGGGTGTGTGAGTGGTGTGACCATGTGAGTGCGTTTCTTGCCAATGAAAAAAAATAGTGTTAGTTTTAGACATTGACATTGTATCAACAGTGTGTGATAAAATTCAGTTTAAATGAATGAAGCTCTACTTTTCTGAGAAACTGTCAGAGTTTGGGAGATCCAGTGGTGGACTTTATTTTCAAATTGCCCATCAGTTTATGAGCCTTGGTCAATACCTGAAACCATGCTTCAGGCATTAATCTAGTTTTGAGGCTAAAATTCTATTAGGTGCCTTAGTTTGATGCTTCTTTGTTGCACATTTCTTTTGCCTGGAAGGTTGGCTTGTGCTATATGCATGTAAATGTTGTAATGCCCTAACCAAAATAGGGCATCTTCCTAAATGAAATTTCTGATTTTTCCACTCCATTTACATATTAAATTGGTATCTTATTTCCATTGTTTTTGTACATAAAGAATCCAAAAAAAAAAAAAAAAATGAAGAAGAACCTAGGGGGCACAATATACATGTGATGCATACACATAAAGAAGAAATTTAAAAGGATAAGCCAGACTATGAAATTAAACAACCAAGCCGAATTGGAGAGTGGAAAAAGAAAAGTTTGAACAGAAAAACAAAGTACACAACAGTCATTTATACAAATATGTATTTACTCTCTTCTTTTACGACCAGTTATGCAAAAATCTCAATAACCATTTTTTTTTAATAGCCCAAACGGACTACTGTACACATCAGAGAATCTCTTATTGTTTTCTAGCCTAAATCTTTAAATGTATCATTTGGATTCCACATCTAATTGTTCCTTTTTCTATTTTTGGAATCTTTAGTTGAAGTGTTGGCGTCTCATGCACAAGTAGAACCTAACACTCTTGACTGGCATTTTTATCATTTAAAACATTTGTTGCATATGCTTATATAAGGTATTCAAGTTTTGAATGTGCTTAGCACATAGGTCATAATGTGGTTAGCCAGTTCAAATTATATAATCTTGCAACCCTCCTTTACCTGGGTGATCTCAATGACTTTCCTTTTGCATCAAATATATATATATTTTCCCATCTTCGTTGGCTGGTCAAAATCCACTAGTTTATTCTTGCGCATTATTTGACACCTTTGTTTTGAATGGATCTAGTTAATCAGACAATGAACTGTAACGAAGGCGATACACGATGGTCCTGTTTTGTTGTTGCTTTTTCATATATGGGGTTTAATTTTGTATTGCTACTGTTTTTTGCAGTCTATGAATGCTCCAATCGTCAGCCATGCCAAGGATCTCAATAGCACCGGTACCAGCAGTTCTTGTGGGCAGTCAATTTCCAAAGAATCAATTGTGATTAAAAACAACCCTGATATTCAACATAGTGAGAGCTCCAAGGAAGGAAGCAACCCAACTTTAGACAGAATTAATCTGTAAGTATCTCTATGAACATATGAACCTAGAGACTTGCCACACAGGTTGATTTCAATAATTCACTCAATTCATCCTTTATACAGTTTTTTTAGCAATCAATAATTAAGCTTTTGCACCTTTGAGCAGTGAATCATGGGAAGGGACATCCGAGAAATCTGCCAGGCCAGAAACAAATCCTCTTTTGGCATTTTTTAAGTCGTTTGTTGCTGCATTTGTGAAGTTTTGGTCCGAATAAAGTCTATTGTTATATTTCCTTAAATTTATGTTTTTGATAGTGAAGATGAGAGCTGAACCTGTTGAAGTAGTGTTTTTTGTCATATCAGAAAATGTGGTTGCATCAATTTGATTCTTAATATCTCCTCCCATGTTCTTCTTCGAGCTATGTACTCATTCTTTATAGAGAAAAATATTTGTGTGTGGAATTTATGTCACACTTGTGGGATGGACTTTGTTTAATAGGTGTCTCATCACAACCTCTGTCCAATAGCTCAATAATTGAATCTTTTGGGGCATATAATTTGGTCAGACTGATCTTCGGCCCATAACTCTGGGCTTTTTAATGGTTAAGTCCATGGATCATCTCCATTTGATCTGAATGGGGTTAGTGAGGACTCAGCTTGTTCTCTTGCACATCTGATGGGCAGGTCTTAGGGATTAGAAGCATGAACAGTTTGAACTTAAGTCACACGGTCTTTCTCAACAGGTGTCGCTCTCATGATATGCGCACGCTTTGCTTGTGACTTAATTTTGCCGTTTTCGCGCTCCTGTTTTATGTGACTTAGATTTGAACCAAGAAACATCTGCATACAGGTTTCTTGATTTAGGTATAACTTCATCTGGATAATCTTACAATATGGTTTTTTGTATATCTTGTTGGCTTATATGCTTTTTCAGTGGACAATAACCCTCATATCTTTAATCTCTCTCTCTCTCTCTCTCTCTCTCTCTCTCTCTCTCTCTCTCTCTCTCTCGTATGCACACACACAATGAGAAATTATTAGATGGTCCTGGATCACTAATACTTGGTGAACCAGTTAAATTCAGACTTTCAAATTAAAAAATGACCCCATAAAATCTCAACATTAGCTTTCATGTGTCAACATTAACATACCAAGTGTATGCCCGTCCAATCAAAATACACTCTTCAATAAAATTCATCTCACTCAAATATGAGAACTTATCTCAATTAACTATATTGGTGTATGTTGAGAGAAATTATTACATGGCTCTTAGCCAACCACCATTTGACACCTAAGCAAATGTGTTAAAAATGTGTTACATATTTTTAAAACATTTGCTCAGGTGTCAAATAGTGATTTACTCGGACCATATAATAATTTTTTATATTTTAATCAGGTGAACATCCTAAGATATTCACGGCTCACGCAATATCTTCTCCCACCTCATCTCACCCCAGTTATCTCTGATTGTTCCCTGTACAAGAAACCCTTCATCTTGTACATCCTCTCTTTCTTTTTATACTTTTATAATTCTAATCTCACCCTTTATACTTCCTCTGTCTCAAAAGAATTTTTTTTTTTTGAAAAATTGTGACTTACAACAGAGATAGTAACAGTTAAGAGGAAGGTGAAAAATTAAATAAAATAAAATCAATTCAGCATTATGGTATTTTTAAGAGGGTAGATCAAAGATCCATCAAAATTTAAATTTCACATGGGATGTGTTATAATGGCTGTGATTCAATAAATGGTATTAATTTGTTTGTAGGTGTATTGGTCGCTCTTAGATACATAATGCAAGGACTTTAATTTATCAATTTTAGGTGATTCTTCTATTAATATTGAATAAATGTTTGCATCTTTTCAAACAACTTTCAATAGGGTTAGGTCTCAGAATTAAAAAACTATTACCCTTGACTTTCCAAGCCCCAGGGGATAATGTCCCAAGTTCGACCCCATTCACCTCCCTTATTACCCTTGACTTAAAATGCTGCTTGCACTGTAGAGTCAAGGTGAGTAGCCGAGAGTTTACCTGGTAGCTACAAGTCCAAAGAACTGGTAGAGAGAGAGAGAGGAAAAAAAAAAAAAACTCATCCCAAATATTATATAGAATAAGGGTTTACTTTTCATCCATTTGAGCTTAATAATATCCTCACACGAGTCTAAAATTCTTATTAAGAAAAAAAGGGTATTTAGAGAATTCCAATCAACAACCTCATAATACAACATATGCTCAAATGCTATATGAAATACAACATGCATATTCAAAACCTTCTCTTAATTTGCACAAGTACTCAACAACCCTATTTAATGTGAAAGAAGAGCTCAACTAATAGCAACAAGGGGTTAAAAAGTAAAATATATATATATATATATATATAACCCGAATGGAAACTTAAAAAATTGCAGCAAAATACTGCTCGAGAACTACCTATGAAATTAAGAATAATAAAAAGGGAGATGATATTCATACTCTTGTTATTGACAAACACATCCGTAGCTCATCAATAAGATAATCAAACATAACGGGTAGTTCTTAAAATGAAATGACATTAAAATCCCTAACTCATTAATAAATAAAGAAAATCAAGTATTAGGGCAATTTTGTCCTTCAATTTTGTTGCATATGGCTAGACTCTGCCTTGTTAATTACTCGAAAGAACATTAATATATTGGAGACAGAGAGTAGCCAAGCTAAACCAGTCAAAGACCAAGAACATATCTCTCTCTTTTGCTTCTCTCTTTACTGAGATGATGTTCTTGTAAAGGGTAGAATCTACATAGACACACACATCGTGTGTGAATATATAACCATATATAATATATGCATGGAAGGCTTGTTAGGAACTCTTCATATCTTCCTTTGGGATTGATTATTATTGTTTGGCTGGCAAGAAAAAGAGAGAGAATAATAAAATGACAGGAAGAAAAAAGGAGGAGGTTCTTAAGCAGCCAAGACATGAGGAATAAAGTGTTGGTTAACCATATAAAACTTAGAACCTTCTTGTCTGCTAAGCCCACTAACCTTTTTCCATGTTTAATCATCCATTCATTTACCAAAGACTTCTTAGAATTCCCGTGCAATCATTGTCAAATTATTACACGCCACTAAATACATATTACATATTATTAATGTATTATGTATATCTGATTTTATTAGTATCCTAAGATTTATTAGTATCCTAAGATTTAGCAAATATACTCAATAATACCTTTATCCTTTTTTTTTTTTTTGACCGATTTGTTGATCAAATATTGAAAAAGAAAAAAAATTTCTCCTTCCCTTGCATGAAAATCAGGACAATATTATTAATTTTTCGTACTCGATATCATCTTCCATCAATCGACAAACGAATTTAGAGAAGATTAAAATACTGGCGTATGTTATAGTATATATTTAGATTGACGAAAAACCAATATGTATAAGTTTTATTAAAATAAGAATGTAAGTAATTTGGTTACTTGCATATGGGATTTTATGCCATAAAGGTTAAGGTATCACTTGTTGCACATAAAGTGATTAGGAGGAGTTTGTGTGTGTGTGTGTGTGTGTGTGTGTGTGTGTGTGTGTGAGGGTTGATAATTAAACACCAAGGATTTGACGGTGGAAAACGATGCAAATGGATAGGAGACAATTCACGTGCAAAGATTCATTATTGACAATGAAATGGTAGGTATTTGGTAAAACAAACCCAACACTTCCATTTTTATAGTCCTCATGTGATCAAAAAGATCTCATCTGTTACTGTTAGATAGATAGGCGTCGTCAAGGCTCCATCTTGGTATCCTATGCACGTTATATATATATATATATTATAGAGAGAGGAGATATGATACGTATTCATACGTTGTTTTTATTCATCTTGCCATCCTACGCGCGTTTGAAGAAAAATGAAACACACTCCCTCCTCCAACATGGGAAAATAAAACCTCTAAAGTGTCCCCATATAAAACCTATTTTTTCTATTTATCTACAAAATATTGTCCATTGCAAGAAAAATGTCAAAAGTGAATTTAATTATGAGATTAAGTGCCAGATTTTAGTCAAGAAAAATAGGGTTTATTTGTAGAATATTCTATGACAACAATCGAGTCTCTCTCCATGCGTTTAAGTGAAACTCATTTGGGCCTCACATAAATACACAATCGAGCACTACTCGATCATTACTTTTAGACTAAAGAACAGCAGGTATTAGTAAATTTTGTGAAAATGAAATTTTTTTGAACACTTAGAAGTTTGGTGAGCAGGAAAAAGAAAATTTTGGGAGAAAATTATTTTTCACAACCACCCAACTTTCTCAATAAAATTTTCCTACAAAAAATACAAGAAAATTTTGATTTCATTAACTTACAATAATACCCTTTTTTATATTCAAACTATAAAATGATAATTTTATATAATTTTCTTAAAAATAATTAATGTTAAATAAATACATTTTCCTTTTATTCAGTTCACTTTCTTTCACTTTTATATTTTAATATTAATTTCGGTCTACCCAAACAACCCTTTCGGAAAAGAAAATGAAAAAAAAAAAAAACAAAGAGAAAATTATCTCCTGAAATGTAAAATACGTCCCCATCGTGACAACACGCGCATTGATGGCGCGTAGGCTTATGTCGTGACCACTCTACATGAATACTAGCTAAGATATATGTTCCATTTGTCAATAGAAGAAAGTAAAGGTCAAAATAACAGATATAAAGGTTAGAGTTATTATCCTCTGTAGTCGTTTCCCTAAAGATTGTCAGCAATTCAGCACCAACAACTCAATTCATAGAACTCTCAGGGGTATTTTTGTAATCATATCCAGCAATCTTACACGTGTTTGATAATCATTGTCTTGAACCCAACAACCCTACAAATTCAATCAACATTCAACAAATATTACTCTTGTGAAAAACAAGGAAAAAAAAAAAAACAAATATTACTCTCAAAAATTATACGGAGTATTAGATAAATTAATTCATAACATGGCATTGGGGGTATCCCAGATATTTTATGGCAAATTATATATATATATATATATATATATATATATATATATATATATATATATAAACTTGTATTTATGACCATTAAAGAAACAACAACAACAAAAAATGCAAATATTGAAGTTATAGTAAAAGTTGAATAACTCCAACATATCCAAAGTAAGTTGCTTAAAAAATTGAAGTACTTACCAAATTCTCTAATAGGTGACTTAAAAGCCTAATATGAATTTAAATTTTTAAATTTAATCTAATTGGAGTCAGCAAAAGGTAAAGATCTGCTAAATGCACCATTATAATCTATTTTTTCCTTCATATATTTATAAGTGCAAAACTAGACATTTGGACCATACAAGGAAAACAATATATACAAATAAATGAATTAGAATATCTCCATTAATTATTTTTCTTTCTTTTACTCTTACAAATTATCAAATGATTTATAACATATCATTTCAGCTGGTTAACCATTTTTTTTTAATTGATATAAAATAAAATAGAAAATCACCTCAAATTATCATAAATAAAATTATACAAGACGATCAAAAATGATAATTTAATTTGTCCAAATTAAATAAGAAAGTTTAATTTATTTATGTCATTTATATAATAATTAAATGAATTTTGATACAAAATTTTAACTATATAATTCTGGTAGAATTCTTTTTCAAAGATGGTTAGATGTGAACTTCAATACTTGTTAATAATTATAATTTATGAAGATATATATATATAGAAATGAGTGTATGACAACTATGATGAGGTCCACCTCATGATAGGATTACTCAAGGAATAAAAGGACAGCAATGACCTTTCTCACTCAATTACCTTCCATCGCACGCCTCTTCCAGCTCTTTTTTCTTCATACCTACATTTCATGCATTTACATACATATATATATATATATATATATAGAGTGAGCGAGATCGAGAGAGATAAGCATATAGAGTCATAGACACGTAGCCACAAACACGTCTCTCTCCTTCATTTCTTGTCCACACCCTTTCTTTCTTCAACAACTCAATACCCATGTCCACCGATCTAGAGTTCCGACAAGGCTTGCCGGAAATATATTTACCGGCCATCAAAGTTGACAATTCACAGTCCTCCGATGACACCAACCACAGCAGCAGCAGCTGCATCATTATTCAAACACAATCAAACACAGAGAGCGACGCGGAAGAGGAGTGCCTAACGCCCACGTCGCCGGAGCACAAGATTCCGGCCATCCTGAGTTGCCCACCGGCACCCAGGAAGCCCAAGACCGTGACCTCGTGCAAGAGAAAATTGTGTGAGTTGGAGTTTTTCGAGATCGTGGGACGAGAAGAAATTGAGTCTTTTTTCAGGTCCAGTTTTGGGGTGGTTGAGGTCAGTTCTAGTGCTGTCGTGAAGAGAAGGTGTCCGTGTACATGATGAAGATGGGAATTCAAAGATTATATCTATATCTATATCTATATCTATATATATGAATTACACGTGTATATGTGGCATTAGTCTCAGTCTCAGGTGATTATGAATTTTATGGGTGTTGAAATTTCAGATGCTTAACTTGGATCTGAATTATAGTTTATTGGTATCAATTGTCCAATTTATTTTTACTTGATTAAAAGGCTTTTTGGCACAATTCATATTGTTTTGTTAGTTGAATCACAATTCATATTGTTTTTCAGCTTTATAAATTATATGCAATCTTGTCCTCCTTGTCTGTGATGGGTTTTAGAGAGAGAGAGAAATAATGATAGACATGGTTGGTGCTTGCTTCCTGATGAAGGAAAGAGGTTAATTATGAGTTTTTTGTTGAGAAAAATTATATATCTCTCTCTCTATATATAAAGAATTTTTTGTTGAGTTTTGGACACAGCTTTGGGATTGATATGCATGATTAATTTTCTTTTAAGTTCCATTAGATTTTGGTAGAGAGAGAGAACCGCACTAATTAAAATTAAATTAATAAAATGAGGCAATATTAATTGTTCCATATATGAATTCTTCATGTAATAAGTGCTCCTTATTTATTTGATTAAAAACCATTTTGGCGGTTTCGTATGTTGTTTACAGTTTATAAGTGATTTAATTTTCTCCGGTAGGTTTTATGGTTATATATATATATATATATATATTAGTGAGTAGGTATAGGTTTTATGGTTTGATTGAGAAAAAGAAATTAGAGGAATAACATGATGAGGATGAATTAAATGGGTATGAATCTAGTGTGTGTGTGTGTGTGTGTGTGTGTGAGAGAGAGAGAGAGAGAGAGAGATGATAGAGATAGTTGGTGTCGTCTTTTGTATGAAGGAAGGAGGTTAATTATGACTTTTTTTGTTTTTTTTTTATGGGGTTGATTATTATGTATAAGTAGTTATATTAATTTTCTTTTGTCTTGTTGGTAGGATGGTTGATCTGTACTTTGTTTGACATAATGTTGGAGTAATTCACACGGCTTTGGGATTGATAAACTATATTTTCATATATTTAATTATTTTTTAGCTGTGAGCATGTGACAGTGAGAGAGAGAGAGAGAAGCAATGTGCTCTGTCATGTAACTCATTAATATGAACAAGATGATCAGCTAGGCAATGTGCTGTGTCAAATAATAATTAATTAATTAATTAATATTGTTAAAACCATTTTTTCTCCGATCAATGGCGTTGAAAGGATCGAAAAAACTGTATTTATAATATATATATATATATATATATATATATATATATATAATAGCTTTGCACTAAATCATGGCCATGTGGCAAGAAAAACACCACATAAGCCAATTACTAGCTGCTACAACTAATTTTTGAAGCATAAGTTTATATGCACATCTTTATTAATTGTTAGAGCTAATAATATTTTTATACAATTGCCGGAGAAGAAAAAGTGGGAAAGGTGATCAACCAACATCTTGTTAAGACGGTTGGAAAAATTAAGGGATAATTTAATATATGATCACTTTTTTAGCCTATATTAAAAAAGTCATTCTTATTCTAAAATAATGAATGTACAAAATAATTTAATTCAATATAATTACAAATACGATAATTTATATATTAATAATTTTGTATTTGACAAACATTTGTGCATTTGGATCCAAATTACTCCTCACATATAATTATTATTATTATTATTATTTTTCAAAAATCATGAACCACCATTACCCACCCACCCACCAGGCGGTGAGACATTTCAACGAACAACCATTGCTACACCGAAATGTCTATATATGTCGAATAGGAAAATAGTGATATAATTAGTGAGTTTTGAAAAGAAGATTCAGTTTTGAGAGACGTCTCATCACTGTTGGAATGGTGGTTCGTTGGAATTTCTTGTTGGAAAGGGGTGGGTGGATATCGTCATCAGTGGCGACGGTGATGGTGGTGGCCGTGGGTAATGGGTGGTGGTGATGGTGGTGGGTGGTTGGAGTGGCAGAGGAAGAGAAAGTAGAGGGAAGAAGAAGAAAAGAGTGTTGAGGGCATTTTAGACCCAAATCGTTGATTTGCCGTATTGGTAACTACTTTTATTTAGTGGTTATTTCACCCAATACATTTTGGTATTATGTAATATTTGTAATATAAACTAGAAAACTTGTCATATATTAAGTTATCCCAAAAATAAATCCAATTAGATTTTTTTTAAAGTTATGGCGGTGTTACATCTCTTAGAGAACTCCACAATTCACTATTGCATACATGTTTCAACTGAAGGCTTATTCTACATCAAATCCAAATGAAAAAAGATTTGGACATATAAGGATAAGAATATATACATGCTATCCAACATCTTAAATTTTTAGGTTAAAAGGCAAGCGATTGACACCTTATAATGTTATCAGAGTCGGACTATATTCTTAAACTGGTGTCATGTCAAGTGTCCATCTAGGCGGGTGCAATTCGAATCCCGACCGTTATTGAATTTTCCACCATTAAAGGGGGGTGGGGTCTGTGGCCAGTGCAATTCGGGTCTTGATTGTTTCTGAGTCATCCCGTCGTTAGGGAAGATGAGCAACAAAGTATGTTAGATGGAGCCAATGTGAGAATTCCCTCCCCTTTCATGTGTAATATTTTTATATCTGCTATCATGGATACTATAGGCAAATTAGGGGAGAATTTTTTTTATTAAAAAAAGAAAAAGAAAATTACATGTCAATTCCCTTTTCTTTCTATTAGTACTTACCATTTTTGAGAAATGTAATAGGTATATATATATATATTTATTTATTTATTTATCATATAGAGAGATTATAGATGAATAATTTAGTGGGCCTAATAGATGACAAGGTTGGGAAATAATGGTTAGAGAAGTAATGAGTACTAAAGTTTATATAGAAAATATTTGGTCCATGTGATGAACAAGCTTTTTGGATCAACCAAATGATGGTGATGCTGCTAGTTTATGGAGTAAGCTTCACTCTTACGTGCCATCATTATAATTATAAAGGAAAGCTATAATTAAATAAGGTTGATTACCAAGAGAATATATAAGTTTCAGTACCTTGAGTTTCACATTACCAAGGTAATCACTAGAGAATAACCCTTTTTTAACAGGCTTTAACCACAAGCTACGCTTGGTATCTTAAGCTTGACGGAATAAAGATCATATTTTTTATGTACTAGAGTATAATATATACACCCATATATTATATATATAGACCTGATAAGGAACTATATATCATATATATATATATATATATATGGATAAATTGCACAGACTTTCTTTGATATTTGGACAAAGTTCAACGGTTATTACTTTTACAGATATTCTTTCTGTTAAACCTGTTAGACCAAATTTTCAAATTTTATAAAATAACAATTTAACCCTTCTCTGATATATATCAGTATAATAAATAAGAATATTACTAACTTTTCACACTCAATTACTTTCATGTCATTAGGAACAGTTTAAAGAGAAGTTAAAATAATAAATGCTGAACAATTTATTCATATGTAATTTGCCCAAACCTTAGGGAATCTGTATCATTTACCTTCTTTTTTTTTTCTACATTAGATATTTATCCAAAAAAATAAAATCATACATTAGATTTGTTTGGTAAAAATGATGGCTTGACTTTCCAATAAAACATTATTTAGATTGGATTCAAGTTAGACATGATTAATTTGTTTCATAACATTCATATATCTAGTTTAATTTTATATACACATATACATACATAAAATAATAAGGACAATACTTACCTACTCACCGGTGAGTAAGAAACTTATACTCACTATGTATGTGACACAATGCTAAATTGACAAGTGTCCTTATATTGTAGAATTACTTTTTATTTAGTTTTGTACATCTAAAATAGATTATATATAACCATCAAAAGTTTACTTTTTATTTAGTTTTGTACATCTAAAATAGTCTATATGAGAGGAGAGAGAATTATAATTTGATTCGGATTCATTTGGGTTTACCTAGAATAGTTATCAAATTATTTATTTTTTATTATTTTAAATGTAAGGGCACTTGTCAGTTTAGCATTGCGCCACGTACGTGATGAGTATAAGTTTCTTATTCACCGGTGAGTAGGCAAATATTGACCAAATAATAATTCAACTCCAAGAAAAATATTGCCAATTATATATATATATATATAAGTGAGATTAAGATCTGACCTCAAAAATTGGGTCTACAGTCCAAAAGTTGCTTTAATTTTACAATCCCCTGACAGAGTTTGCTATTTTAACATTCAGTTCCAACTTCAATCTTACGGTATTGTTTGTTTTCTCTTTATTGCCGAAAGGAAAGGGAAGAAATGAAGAATACAGACATAAAACTGGGGGAAAGAAAATTTGGAAGGAAAAGAGAAAATCAGAGAAAAGTGAAAGGAAAGGGAAGGGAAGGTCTCACTCACCCAAAACCAAACAATTTTTGGTACTTGAAACAGATTGTAGAATGTTACAAGTGGGAACCCCAATTCTCAAAATTCGAGGAGTGGACTTTCTACTTAAATTGTTGTGATGCTTGGATTCAAGTCTAAGAAACTGAATTTAATTCTCTGGGATTTCCAATTCCACACGTAAATCTTTTCTTTTCTTTTCCCAGAAAGAATTTTTCTGGGATTTGCAATTGCCAACTGGTTAAGAGTTTTTAGGATAAATTATTAGATGGCCCTAGTCCATTAACACTTTGTGGACTAATTAAATACAGACTCTCGGATTGAGAAAATAGCCCCATAAAAGTGTATTAATAAATTCCAAAGTTTTATGATCGGAGGGTTTTCATTGAATTAGTCCATCAATTGTCAAATAGACCAAAACCATCTAATAATTTCTCAGTTTTTAGTATCAGAGTATGTACCTTTTTTTTTTTCCTTTTTTGCGACCATAGTGGTGTCGGTCCTTTGCCCGATAATTCATCACGGGCATATGTAATCTCCCGTTCCATTTGTATCCGGTAATTATTGAAAAAATTTCCGGGGTGGCCTCGAGGAAATTTTAAAACCAAATGTCATTTAGAAATAAATAAAATAAAATAAAAAAATTGATCATTTATCAAAATCAAATCAAACCAAATAAATTAAAAAAAAAAAAATTAGAATATGAAGTGGGCAATGCAGTCACCAAATTATTTTTGAAAATATATATATATATATATATATATATATATATATATATGTGAATGTAGTAA